AATGTTTATAGCAGTATTATCCATAATTGCCAAAAATCAGAAGCAACCAAGATGGCCTTCGGTAGGTAAATGGATAAACTGTAGTTCACCTAGACAATGGAATATTACTCATCACTAAAAAGAAACGAGCTATCAAGCCGTGAAAAGGCATGGAGGAACCTTAAATGCATATTACTAAGTGAAATCTGACAAGGCTACATACTACACGATTCCAACTCTATAACATTCTGTAAAAGGCAAAAACTATGGAGATGGTAAAAAAGTTCATGGTTGCCAGGGGTTCGATGGAGGGAGGGATAAACAGGCACAGGAGATTTTTCGGGCAGTGGAACTATTCTGTATAATACTGCAATAGTGGATATCTGTTATTATACATTTGTCAAAACCCATTGAATGTACAATACCAAGAGTTAACCCTAGGGCAAACTATGGAGTTTGGGTGATAAGATGTCTTGATGTGGATTCATCAATTGTGACAAACATACCACCACATTGGTGTCAGACCTTGATAGTGGGGAAGGTTGTGCATATGCGAGGGCAGGGGCTATGTGGGAATACTGTGTACTTTCTACAGTATTTCTGTAAACCTAAACTTGTCATCAAGTTCATGAAGCTTTCCCTGATCCCTCATCTTCATTGTGGGTTCCTTTTATACAGCTCTGTACCATGTAACATCATTTCGTTTGGCTCATGGTATTGAAACAAAACTTTTCATTCAATGTGACCTTTTAAAAATCAGGGATTATATCTAAAAATCCAGATTTCCTACTACTCTGGAAAAAATATAATACTGTTACAAGATAGGAACAGAGGCAAGTAGCAGGAACTGCTTTGGAGATCCCTCTCCTTGTGGCCTCTCCAAACTGACGTAGAACTATTATCATTTATCATTGTCCTTTTACTCCCTCTCACTTCACTCAAAGAGCCTGCCTGGTTCCAGTGTCCCCATTTGAGGTTGTAAACCCATTTAGTTACTTGCTTATATATCTCTCACACCTATTAAACTATGTTTTCTTGAGAGCAAGGACTTGCTTCTCCTTCACCTTCTCTTCTCCTCTACTCCCTCCCATCCAACCATAGTATACGAGGGCTGTCCAGAAAGTATCCAGCCACTGTTAATAAAATTTCTCATATTACATGGCTGGATACTGTCCAGATGGCCTTTGTGTGTTTATCAACTATTTTCTGAATTTGGTAAATTATCAATCAACAAAATAGGAAAAATGCTAATATCTAATTCATTATGAATGTTGCTCCTTAAGCTGAAGGAACTGGTAACACTGCTTCTTTACTATGTTTAAATTCACTTCAAAACTTGGTGATATCGTTTTTCACATCTAAGTCACAATCAAACTTTTTGAGGGTAGAGTGAATGAGAGGCTAAGATGCAGAAGTTGAAGTTAGGTATCATGTGTTGAAGGCCTACTACGTGCCAGGCACTGGTACTAGGCTAAATAATTAAAGGAGAGAAGGGCAAACCTAGAAATAAAAGAGATGGCCGGGAAAAAACCTGTGCTGGACCAGGTAGGAAAAGCATTTCAGGACAGCCAGTAGGATTCTGCAACAAGAAGTTCAAGTACAGGGTTGCCAGGTCACAGAGTGGTCACTTTGTGTAAATGTTGTGGAACACTTACAACATTCTTGGAAGTGGTGAACTGATGCACCTGAAGAGCTACACTGAAGCCCATGACCTTCCCTGTCCCCTAACCAGGACCACTTATCTTTTTAAGTAAAGTAGTTGATTCAATGACATCTGCATTGAGAATGTCTCAGTAGATACCTAATGCTATCCTATTCCTTAGAGGAAAATAGATCGTAAAGAAATGTGTCTCAAAAATCTCTGCTGTCAAAACAGATTTAAGGCAAATTTGAAATCGGAAACAGTTTTCATTTAAGAGTGTAATCAGCTTTAATTAAAGCAAAACCATGAAGCGAATAATTTGGCATAACAGTACTCTTGTTGCTTGAGATGCTGTACTGCAAAACTTTTTTTGTTTTGTTTTGTTTCTGAGACAGAGTCTTGCTCTGTCACCCCAGGTAGAGTGCAGTGGCATCATCATAGCTAATTGCAACCTCAAACTCCTAGGCTCAGGCAATCCTCCTGTCCCACCCTCCCGAGTAGCTGGGACTACAGGCATGTGCCACCACGCCCAGCTAATTTTTTCTGTTTTTAGTGGAGACAGAGTCTCACTCTTGCTCAGGCTGGTCTCAAACTCCTGAGCTCAAGCAATCCTCCCGCCTTGGCCTCCCAGAGTGCTAGAATTGCAGGTGTGAGCCACCATGCCTGGCCTATAAAACCTTTTTAAATTAAATTGTTTTATTCAAGATAATTATAGATTCATATATAGTTGAAAGATATTATACAAAAAGATCTCTTGTGCCATTTACCCAGGTTCCCCCAATGGTAACACCTTACAAAATTATAGTACAATATATCAAACAAGGATACTGATATTGATACAGTCTAGATACAGAATATTTCCATCATCACAAGAATCCCTCATGTTGCTATTTTATAGCCATATCCAATTCCCTTATGCTTCATGCCCACTCCTTTAACTCTTGGCAACCACTAACCTATTCTCCATTTTTATAATTTTTGTATTTCAATAATGTTGTATAAATGGAATCATATAATATGTAACCTTTGGGACTGGTTACTGTTACCCAGGATGGTTCTCTGGAGATTCATCCTGATGTAAAACCTTTTAATTTATGGTGATCATAAAACAGAATTAAAACCTAGTAAACAAAGACCTGGGGTTCTCTGATGACTGACATGAAAGTATAGGGCACAAGAAAGATTAAATTTTACTGTGCTCTGTTCTAAGTGGCAGTTTCTTCTCTGCTGTGTTTTCCTGCCACTGTAAAGATCTAAAGACACCCACATTGTCAAATTATCAATATTACCAAGACTGGTTTATACATTGGAATTACAAATTATCCTTGTGTAGCCATCAAGGTTTGTGAAGCTTGTCTCAGAAAAACATAGCCAGTTAAGTAAGAGAGTTCAAAAATCATTCTTATTAATATTAATCATTTCAGGTATATACAAATTTTCAGTGAACTTCCTGAGTTTTCCCACTTACAACTAAGTCTTTGCTCTCTGACACTTCAAAAAAAAAAAAAGACCTAGTGGAATTGCTGTTGTTTGAAAGAATAGCCTCTTTACTGTGTTTTAACCACTGCAGAGAAGAAACAAGTGCATCTCTCAGCTCCAAAATCTAAAAAGCCACAAAGTGGTCTGTTTGTTCTTCAAATTTTTTCTTCAACGCATTTAGGATGTCATTCATAACCACTCTGATATCTGTCAAATTTGGCAATAGAATCTCGTCAGTGAATAATTATTTAAAAAGTAAAAGCAAAATCCTGACCAGGTAATTGACCAACTTTCTATTCCTTACCATTTTTAAAAACAGAAACCAAATAGGCTCATCTCGTATTAGCAAGCCTAAAACACAAAGAACAAGCTACAAACAATGAAAGGGTCTGCAACCTGTCACATGTTTATAAAACACAGGCCCAAAATTCACTCATCTTTTAACCAGACCCACAGTACTCTATTGGTGACACAATTTCTTAAGCAAGTCAAAAAGTCCTTAGTTACCAGACATACGATTACTAGATGAAGCACATATTTTATTAATAATAGTTTCTAACCTACATATTTAAAAGAAAAATGAAAAAAAAAACTTCCCAGGCAGTTATTTCAAATGTTTGCATAAGCTAATAAACTGTGGAGAAAAGTAACAAGATATTATTTAAATATTTAAATAATCACTTGCCCAGTAAAAAAATAAACAGCATGTGAACTTCTACTTTCCCAAAAACCTTACTACATATACACGTATATATACATACACCCACCTCTTTAGGATCTACTTCCACAGGACAATCTTAAATTACCATTCCTTTTCCTGCTCCCAGAAGGCTCCTAAACCTAATACCATTGATCCCATTTAGACACTGGATGTTAACCAGGATAACAGTCCACACTCCTTACTCACTGACACGGGTCTGTCACAACAGTCCCAAGGGAAACTCCTACAGGGGCCCATGTCTTATTCATCTTTGTATGCCCAACAGTGCTAGTATCTTCAAAATGTTCTGCACAAAGTGGGCACTAAACAAGAAATGCTGAATGTTAAGAAGAAAAAAAAATAGATGCACTTAGGAAGAGATTCATAGGATTCCAGCACACGACATGCAAATTTTCTAACTCCCAAACCTCCCAAACAGAGTAGAGAATATTTAGCTTAGTGGCACTAGAAGTCCAAAAGCTTTTGTATAATCTCTAAGAAAACAGATCTGTGGCTCAATTTTTTCATCTGAACAATGAGTATAATAAAAACACCTGGCTCACAGGGTTCTGAAAGGATTAAAGAACTTGGTAAACGTAAAGTCTGCTCACATCAATGTATGGAAGACCACACACACAGACGACTTAAGGGGTAGCTACTGAAATTACCAAAAAAGCCTATTATAATAAAAGTAAGGCTCACAGAGCCCTGCAAAGGAGGCCAGAGTTTAAAAGAAATTAGCCTAGAAGAGGTAAGTTCACCGGCTGGCACATTTCTCCTGTAAAGGGCCGGATACTACTGTAAATGTTTTAGGCTTTAAACAAGATGCAGTTTCCTCAACCCTTGGAGCAACTATTCTGACTGAAAAGCTAGTAGGTTTTTTGTTTGTTTACATTTTACATTTTAAAATGTTAGAATCATTCTTAGTTCATGGGTCCATACAAAATCAGGCTGGATTTGGCCTCTGGGTCCTAGTTTGCCAACCCCTGAATAAGATAACGACGATAATACAGTGTTTTTTAAAGCCTACATAAAGAAACGTTTGTGAGTTGATTAAAGTTGACTGAAAAACGTGCTGCCCCAAACTTCTAAAATCCAGACGAGCAGGACTGGCGTGGAGGAGAATCAGGCCAGGGCCTCAGAAGTCAGCAACGACCTCCCTGTGGCTCTCGGGCTCCGCCGAGCCCCCTCCACACTTACTCCCAGCAGCGGCCCGCGGCCGATCACGGTCTCCCCGGGCTCCAAGGCCACCCGGGGGCCCCCGTCCTGCGGCTGCAGCTCGAAGCCCCCGGACATCGCGGGCGAGGATTAGGTGCCCTCCCTCTCTTCACAGGGAGACGGCCCCCGCAGCCGTTTCCTCCTTCCACAGACACGCGCGGAGCTTGCCCAAGCCCCAGGAAAAACACGGAGGAAGCGAGGAGTGAGATGTCCCCTCGGCAGTGCCCAGTCCTGGCCTCCGGAGTCCCGCCCCTCTACCCAGCCCAGTGACGCAGTCGGGGATTCCCCCATCACACCGCCTCAAAGTTATTGTTTAAACCCCTCCCCTACGCCTTCTCACCGCCCACCCGGTTTGGGGGACGCCGGACCTTGTAGTCCCTGGAGCCTTCCTTCCCCTCCTTTCCCGAGCTGAGCCGCCCAGGAGAAACTACCGATCCCAGAAGGCAGTGCGCCCATGCGCCTGCGCGAGTTCGCGTCAGCAAGGTGGGGCTAGAGTGGCCGCGGGGCGGGGAAGAACTGTGCGCAAGGATTCGAATTTCGGAGGATTTAAATAGCGAAAGGAAAAGCCATCGCGGCCGGCCCACTAGGTAGGAGGGTCTACCCTTTCCGAAAGTGTAGGTGTCAGCGCCGGTACGCTCGCGGGCGCGGCCTGGGCAAAAGCACAGCCTCCACTCAGCAGCCTGGAGCCGCGGTGACAGTCAGTGCTGACGGTTGTCATTGTTGTTTACTTGTCAGTGTTCGTGTCCTAGGGACTAAAGCATCTGCAGCCTGAGTGGGGCAAACTAGGAGGGTGGTTCAGACGGGACATGGGGTAGTTACCCGCGACCCGCGGGGTCCGAACGGGTTGGGGCTCTCCCGTCCCCCTCATGGCGCTGCCTCCCGATCCCTCCGTCCCAGTAACAGTTGAAAGGAGGACGAGCTCTTACCTAACTGGAGAGGTAATTCAGCAAAACTCGGTTCATAAAAGACAAAGGGCAGAAGAGGGGTAGTTTTCAGACATCCAGACAAAACTGGACTTAGAAGCAAGATTCCTAGTGAAATTCTAAGAACCTCTCCGGGATATCTCCTGTTAAATTCAAAAGCCTTCATTTGCCTCCTGTGGAATTCCTGTAACGGGATGAAGTATTTTTATTCCACCAGTGAGATCCTGGGAGAAGTAGCAAACATTAAATACACTGTAACACTCTCCTAATAACATAGTGGTTCAGCTTTGGTTTGTTTTATATCGACGGTGGGAGGAGCCAATGCATGTGGGGAAAACTTGCTCTTGACTTCATACTTTTGTTTTTACTAGTTTACTTTCTTACTTCCCCAAACCCTCAAGAGAAAATCCTCTGTTGAACACAGACATTACAATTCAAACCACCGCAGCTAATTTGAATCAAAAACAACCTAATGAATGGGAGCCACCGTGGTCTTGGCAAATCCAGAAACATATGGCTGAGTAGCACACCTAGAAAAGGGAATTGCAAAAGAACTATTTAGATGTATTTTAAACTCCTCCTGTACAGCCAACCCCTGTTATAAAAGGAAGTGCAAAATGGAATAAAGTGATTTTAAGTAAATATGAGATGTCTTTATATGTAAAAGTTGCTGAAGGATGGTGATGTACCCAGCTGTTCTTTCCACTGATTTTGAAAGCCCACACAATTTACCTTAGGTAAATTAACTGAAATGGGGCTTTAAAGCTTGAGTCACATGCTATACCTAGCTGAGTTATAACCATTGTTTATAGTTGTTACTAACTGTTGCTTGATGGCCTTTGTGACTGTTATCCTTAGCTCAAAATTAACTTTGCATGTAGGATAGCTTCAAGGGGCCATTTCTAAAACACCAATCTTATAATTGAATTTAATATTTGAGACTTTGTGTCATAACCCATATCTTATCCTCTTGTCCATTTCAGGTAGTGTTTGTGTCAAATGTGAGCACCTACCCATTAAGTACAAGTAGATAAACAATTCTTATATAAAAAAAAGTCCAGCAGCTTTATGATAAAGTCACAAATTGCAGATGAAGAACTTAATGACAAGGCTTCAGTTCCCACATGTAACAAGTATTCAGAGGTTTAATAGGATTGACTCATGCACATTTTCAAAAGTACTTTCAATAAATACTTGAATGTGTTCTCACAGTAGTTGCTACTACTAAACTCAATAAATATGGTCTAATATGGAGAATCATTTCTCTTTTTAGCTAATGTTCTTTGGGGAAAACCCAAAAATGTTTAGAAACAAATCCATTTACTAAAAACATTTAAAAAGAAGAGAAATACCATGTGTTGAGCCCCCTCCCATGTGCAATTCAGATGTAGCAGAGCTAGATGTTTTATACATCATCCCCGTTAATCCTTGCAAGAAAGGAGCAGCATTGGCCCATTTTGCAGATTAAGAAACTAAAGTCAAATAAGTTAAAGTTCTTTAAATCATACCCAAAAATATCTGACTCAGAGTAGGATTTATTGTCTGATTTGAAAAGACTATCTTTAAACTTTGCCTTTTAGATTACATATGAGGATAATTGACTAAAACATCAAGCTATGAAGAAAAACTCCAAGAAGAACAATAATTCAAGAGTTTCTGACATAGAATTGAACTCTGTGGATGCTAAGAAGAAAAAAAACGAGAGTCAAAACAACTTTGTTGAAATGCTGCCTCTAGAAGTCACTTTACGAATTTTCAGTCTGCTAGACATTCAGAGTTTGTGCAGGGCTTCATTGACATGCAGCAGCTGGAATTCTGTAATAAAAAACAGTGACTCCTTCTTATGGAAACCTCAGTGCTTGACTGTAAGAGCTGTATGCCCAAGAGAAATAGATGACGATCTAGGAAGCGGTTATTCCTGGAGGGTAAGTTTAATCTTTTCAGTCTGCAGTGTTTCTTATGGTGCTGTGGTAGCAGATTTGAGCCAATTCTAACTTTTGCTTGGAGGAGAGAAGATTGCATATGCAGAATAACATACAGAGCATGTTGACTTTTGGCGATAAAGTTCAGTTATTAGTCTTTTCCTGCTAACCATGCTGCTTCCACACTGTCATTCATCCTTTTGCATATTTTAAATTCTAAATTCAGGAACTTTCCTCTTAGGAAATTGACTACTTCTTTCACTGCACTTTGTCCAAGATCTTCAGTCAACTCTGTGGCTCACTCTGTATATATACATATATACATACACACACAAATTTATTAATACATGTGTACATCAGTGTAAATACTTATCTTCTTTTTAGCCCTATCAATCAGCTTCTCTAGTTTTAAACAAACTCACTAACCAACCACCCACTACAATCTTTTTTAATGATGATAATTTACCTCTTTCAGGTAACACTGGAGAGGAATTACAGGAAGAGTAAAGTGAAACATGAATGGCTAAGTGGCAGATACAGCAACATATGTTCTCCCACTAACCTACCAGAAAAAATTATGTACCCAATGGATGCAGATACATGGGGAGAAATTCTAGAAGCAGAACTGGAAAGATAAACAGAAAAATCACAAATAGTAACTTTTGTGATTTTTAGCGCCTCCCATGTGCAATTGAAACAGTAACTCAAATGACACAATTTGATCCAGCAATCCCACTACTGAGCATCTACCCAAAGGAAAAGAGGTCATTTTGTAAAAAAGGTACCTGGACCCGAATGTTTATCGCAGCACAATTCACAATTGCAAAAATATGGAATCAACCTAAGTGTCCATCAACCGAGGAGTGGATAAAGTAAATGTGGTATATACACACCATGGAGTAATATACTCAGCCATAAAAAGGAATGAAATAAAGTCTTTTGCAGCAACTTCGATGGAACTAGAGACCATGATTCTAAATGGCATATCTCTGGAATGGAAAAACAAATACCACATGTTCTCACTTATAAGTGGGAGCTAAATGAAAGGTATATACCTTTCATAAAGTGGTGTAATGGACATTGAAAACTAAGATGGGGGTAGGTTGGGAGCCACTGAGGGATAAAAATCTACCTTTGGGGATGCAATGTACTATTCTGGTGACAGATACACTAAGAGCCCAGACTTTAGTATTACACGATTCTTTCATGTAACAAAAAACACTTGTACCTCCCCTTAATCTATTGAAGTAAAAATAATCTGGCCAATTTTGCTTTGAGTATAAAACTACTCTAAAAATAAAGTCTGTTTTAAATAAATAAATAAGTAAAACTCAAATGACTCTTAGGTTGCAAAAGGTGTATCTTCATTCATTTTTTTGTTGTTCACCTTTTTCATGTTTAACATTTAAGAGAAAACAGAGTAAAAAAATTATAAAAGTAAAACTTTATTTTTATTTTGCACTTTATTGAAATATATTTTTCTGGTTTTATTGTAATGTGGAAAATAATGAAATGTTATTTTTATAAGAAATAATATACTGATAGTGTCATTTCAAAATGTATTGTTTCTTGTATTTGTGTTAGTATATTGCAGTACTTTAAATGATGGATCTTGATTGGTATTTTCAGCTTAATAATTTAAAAATTCAAATAAAGGGCTGATAACTAGAATCTACTTAGAACTCAGGAAAATCAACAAGGAAAAATCAAACAACTCTATCAAAAAGTGGGCAAAGGACATGAACAGAAACTTTTCAAAAGAAGACAGAATAATGGCCAAAAAACATATGAAAAAATGCTCAACATCTCTA